CTTCTCTTCTCTTCTTTGAGAATCCTGGCATTTGAAAGCCAATGTCTTGTTCTAGACTCAGAAAGTCATTTCTTAATGTAGAAAACGAATGTTGACTCTCACCTTACATTTCAGCTGCAATAATCCCAGAAGTACTCTATGGAAAGTGCATGCCTCTGACAGAATGGAGGGAGATCATACTCTACTAAACGCAAAAGAATATATATATGCATCTCCTATTCTATTACATCTACATGTAGTAGGCTGCTGTCTCCACTAAACTATAAAATCTTAAGGAAGCTTAAACTCCTAGTACCCATCATAACATCTGGAGTATAGTAGAACCTCAGTAAATGAAAATTATATGAAAGAATAAGTTGAAGCTCTTTAAATAACCACCTTGAATGTAACTGGAAAATAAATAACCTGCTCGGTAGGTCTGCATAGCACGTGCCTTCAGTACTACACTTTACTGATGAATATTTTGAAAAACTCTTAAAAAGCCAGGTGCCAGGTCTCTCTGGTCAGGGTTTGTCTGTGTGGCAGAAGCTGAGAAGTCTTATCTCTTGGGGTACCTGCTAGCTTAATTCCACAGTGGCTTTTGGCTGTGCTTTTGTATTCTTGCTCAGTCCGAGGCAGTCTTCCTATCCAGGAGCAGCATTTTGGGGCTAGTGAGGATTCCTAAGACCCCTTTCAGTATGGAACTGCGGGCTGAGCCATGCGGCGTAGCTAACGGGATGTGTGTGTGTGATCCTTGCCTACAACGCTTCCTTGTCGTGAGGCCTGGTTTGAACAGGACTTTAGCTTCTGCCAAAATTTGAATTTGGCAAAAATTGCCTTCCTTTTGGCAACTTCAGTCACCTTGAAGGCTTGTCAGGAAATGGCCTGGGACACCTGCTGGCCTTGAGGCCAGACTGACTGACGTCCTTGGGCTCTCTCAGGGTATTCACATTTCAGAGGGCGACAGAGCTGACTCAGAAGATGGAAGACCTAACTTACAAGCTGAATGAAGGAGATAGCTTGGGGAGCACAGGGCCAAGGGGAAGGCCCCTGAAAGCATTTCTCTGCATTTTAAGATTGTTCCCAGAAGGCCTGTCTACATCTCCAGGATTGGGCTTGCTCTTCTTTGGGCCCCTGCAAATGCTCTTTCCCCTTCCTGGGATGTTTGCTCTGCTCTGGGTCAGCTTCGTGAAGCCAACCTTTCACTTGTGAGGCCTCAGTGCACAGGTGCTGCCAGAAGGCAGCTGACTGCCTGAGTCTGGGTTAAGGACCCTCCTGCTCTGTGGCTCCTTCACTCCTCTGGTTAGACCTTCTCGACTGCACACTCAGTTACAAAGTCTCCTGTGCAAGACTGTCCTCTGTCTCTTCTCCAAACACTGCCAAGTTCCTCTGTGGTTCACCAGAGCCCTGGCAGCCCCAGTACCCAGCACCAGGCCTGTGCCCCATAGGACATGTGTGCACAGTCATGGCTTACCTGGATGTGTACATGGGTGCTCATCAACCAGTTCTCTCCCCTTCTGTAGTTGTAAGCCAAGTGTGCATAGTCATATTTTCTTCTTAAAATAATCACCTTTTCTTCTCCTATTTCCTATAATATGTCCCAAGTCCAAAGCCTGTAAATGAAAATGACACCTCCCTATGAAGTATGAGAGGGTCTGGGTAAGGGTTTTTTTTCACACAGATTTGGGTACATGTGCTCTTCTGCTACACCCGGGCACACGTGATGACCCTAGCATATACCATACTCAACCCATGTACATGTACCCTGCCTTAGGCTGCCCTGGATGGGACTGAACCAGTACGGGGCAGATTAAGGGAGATTTCACTGAGCAAGCCTAGAGAAAGAGGGCTTTTACTGCTCCTGCTCGCCAGCTCCCAGTTCCTCTGAGCTGTGGGATGTCCTCGGGCTGCCTTCTCTGCTTCATTCTGCAAGCGGGAAGCACTTTTCCTCTCAAGATGGAGACGCATTTATTGGCATTCTAATTTTAAAAGTTCTCCATGTGCAGAGATGACTTTGATCTTCAGCAGAAGTTTATTTCTTCCTATTAGCATCACATTATACAATCTGTGACAGATTAATCACAGCTATTGTTGTACTGTTTATTCTACACACTGTATAATTTTACTTTCAAAATGTAATTTTAATTAAGAAGGAAGTGCATTTGCGAAAGACATTTTCCTGACAGAGGCTTCCTGGGCCCCACTACTGAACAGGTGTATGCCTTGGCTGCCCGGACAGCAGCGTCTCCAGCAAGGAGCCAAAGTGCCAGGACCAGGGACGAAGCAAGTTCTGGGGTTTTATGGTGTGACAGAAGCACTTGCATAACTCACTTGAGGCTCACTTGCATGTTTTTTCAAGAATTTGTCTTCTTTTTCTCTAAAACAAACAACATGTCTCTGTGCCATGTGGTATAAAGAATGTGGCTGGAGTTTAATAGAAAGCTGTAAGAGATGGAGGAGGGGCCTGTGGGTCCGCTGCTTTACCCTAGGCTTGAGTCTAGCCTCCCCGAGCCACCTCTTTCTCTTCATGGTCCATTAAATGCTGTGACCTTGGTCAAGTTACTTAACCTCTCTAGCGTGACTTTGCTCAGAGGAGAAGGATCTCAGCGAGGGCTACAGGTGAAAATGTTAGGACATGAACTCAGGACAACGCAGGTAAGGTGCTTCAGGATGTTTATGGGCACATCGTGATGCTCAGTAAAGGGGCTGTGCATTTCCTTCTGTTCAAGAAGATAAGAGAGCAGCCTGCCCGCCCCCCCACCCAGGATAGACACAGACTTTGCCAACTTGATGGTTTTGCAGGGAGCCCACCCTGGTTTGGAAAGAGCAATCATTTTTGAACTGCAGAATCCAGAAACACACTTCAATTTTACCACTTACATTAAGTGCTCGATCCAGAGCCATATACCAAGCACTTGGGGCAACAAGTTCTTTTTTTTTTTTTTTTTTTTTTTTAAAGAAAAACGTTTTGTGGTGAAGGAAAAATGCCTATGCAAGAGGGCTGTGAAGAGGTGCTCCTGTGCATGATGCAGTTCATGGGACAGAGAAGAAATGGACAGCCATTTGCGACCAAAGCCAGGCTGGGGCACAGGCTTGAGCTCTGCCTCTGGTGTGTACTTCGAGGCAGATAAATCGCAACGCAGTAGCATGATGCGGATGCCAGTTCCTACCGTCTGACTTGATCTGCCAATCAAGCTGATGAAGAGACCTATGGTGTTCAAGGGCAATGGCCAGGGGTGAAACACTCCTGTTCTCCTGCTAGAACCCAGGAATTGGCAGTCCCTGAGAAAAAAAAACTGCAGAAAGAAGAGGAGAAAAATAATAAACTAAGATCCCTATAGGATAAAACCACCACCCCCACTTGGAATCCTACATTAGGCCCCATCAGAATGAAGTTCAAGGCATAACCACAGCTCTTTGGTTGTGTTGGAATTTTTTCCTTTCACATACCGAGCTGTCTGAGATGGGTATTCAGCTCTTTTCATCTCTGCATCAGCAGAACTGAGTACAGTACTTGGAAGACTTTGCCTTCAAAAATAGTCATTAAATTGAATTGAGTAAAATGATTCCCCAAGCAGGCCATTGTTTAGATCGTTTGTTAGAGAGAAACCTTTGTTGGAATGGCGCTTAAACCGTTCTTTAATAACAGCTGGGATCTGTTAGGGTAGAAGAAAGGTAAAAATGGAGGTAAAAGCTGAAGACAGCACATATGGCGTTGTCGTTAGTGGCATTTAGAATGAAGTTAATATATGAAACAGGAACGGCACTCAGGCAGAATCACACTGTTCCAAGTGTGGCCTGAACAATCCTTCCCAACGCCTTGCACGTGTGCAGGCAATGACAAAATTGGTTTGCGGTGGAAGAGAGAGAGGTTTACCAGCACATCAAGTGCAGCATTTGCAAATCTCTCAACAGAGGAATGAGGCACAGAGCATGCCTTTTTATGGGGACATTTCTTTTCCAATGAAAGCAAATTCATTGGAAACACCCTGTCGTAGTTAACATTTTTATAGACTTTGATATACCTTTCAGCATTTTTATATAATGCAGATATTTGCTTAAACTTTAGAAAGAAAAGTTAACATGATTTCAGTTTATTCTACACATATTTCAAACACTGGGGCCTGATAAACATTGCAGTCTGTCCCTTGAGCTGCTGATGGCTCTGAGGGTAGCTATTTGACCTCTAAGGCTGTTGCTGGATTTTTCTCCTCAAAGCTATTCTTTGCCTTTTTCTTAGAAGAGGACATTCAGGTCTGAACCTATTTCTTTTCCTCAGTTGTGTGGCACTTCTGGGAAATTTCTGATCAGTAACTGCCTAAAAAGGTGGTTTGGGGCCGGCCAAATAGTTCAGTGGATTAAAGCACCTGCAAGCAGGCGCAGCAACCAGGGGTTCGATCCCCAGGCCTGCCATGCCGGCCCTGCCCCCAGGGCGCTGAGACAGCAACTGAGAGTGGGCATGGTGGCGCATGCCTGTAATCCCAGCTCTTGGGAGGCTATAAACAGGCAGATCACTACAAGTCCTATCTATGTAGTGAGACCCTGAACACCCTGTAGACCATTCCCCCCAAAAAAACCCAAAAAACAAAACAAAACAAACAAACAAACAAAAAAAAACTGGGAGATAATTCAGTGGCATAAGTGTCTGGCTGGCAAGTGCAAGGTCCTGAGTTCAATCCCCAGTATCAGAAGGAAAAAAAAGGTGGATTGATCAGGGTACAGTGGTACATGCCTGTAACTCCAGCACTCAGGAGGCCTGAGGAGGGAGAGTCACAAGGGCAAGCCCATCCTGGACAATTTAGTGACTTAGTGAAATGCTTTCTTAAAAATTGTTTTTAAAAGGTGATGATAGGGGTTGATGCCTGGGGATGTATCTCAGTGCAAAGGTCCTAAGCTCAGTCCCCAGTACCAAAATAACTCAAAAACCAATAGATAAATAAATAAAAATAAAATAAAAAGCTGGCTTGGCTTTCCTACCCCAGAACAGCTCTATGACAAAAGTTATTAAAAGTGGGCATTGTCCAACATTTGCAAAACATCAGAAAGTTTCCAATGTTAACAGCTTCAAATAGCTGGTCTAAAAGGTACAGCTTATAATAAAAATCCAGTAAAAATTATAGCTAAGCACTTTGCAAATTTAAAGTATGATACTGAAATGCATAACCCAAACAGCTGTAGCTGGTGTGCTAGGATACAGTGTGCTAAGATACGAGGAGGCGGGTCGGTTCTGTCTGTTTTTAGCTGTGCCCGACCTATGTGCAGCAGCTTGGAGAATTCTTTGCAGTAAGAGTGGCAGAAAGCTGGCAGGGCGGGGAAATGCCAACAGAACAGAGGGAAGAGGGGACTCTTTCACGCAAGGTGGTAGCAGAGGTGTAAAATGCCTCCTTTTAATGCTGGCTGCCTCTACCTGTACTCCCCTAAGGTCAGGCTAGGTGTGGGGTTGGAGGGAAAGTATCACCCCAGGAGTCAAGAATGTTTCTCTTCGGATATCAGTTCAACTCATGTTTTCTACGTGACCTCAGACAAAATCATGTGCTTCTCTGGACCTCAATTTCCTCAAATCACACAGAGGTGTGGATTAGAGGACTTGAAGTTTTCTCTGATTGAAAATTGCTAAAATGAATTGATCCACATTAAGCCAACCCTTCTGTACTGGATCTTTTCATTTGGAAATAAGCTTCCTGAAAAGGGCAATGCTTATCCAAAATGAATAACTCTTTAATGATGACATTTCAGGCATTTTGCCTGCCAAATGAAAAACAGAGTTCTGTTTCTAAAATGTGTGTGTGTGTGTGTGTGTGTGTGTGTGTGTGTGTGAGTGACTCAGAGGGTTGAGAGTTTTTTCACTCTTCTAGTTGCCCACACTTAAAACATTGGGGTAATCTGTGATTCTACTTTTTCACTCTTTACCCAATTCATTGGCAATTCTTGGTGCCTCCACCTCATAAATTTCGAATGCGATCACGTTTTATTACCTCAGGATCAGCAGTGCGTCAATAGATATCAACTTTATCTCAGAGCAAGATTATAATAATACCCTCCTAGCTTCTTTCTGCTTCCTGTCTTGTCTTTTACTGTCCAGTCTGAATACAAATCCCTTCAGAATTATTCTGCTAAAACTCTGCTTCCCCAAATTCATTTCTGGCATCAGCCAGTTTGGGCTATGTTATGCAGAAGTAACAGAAACATCAGAAGCTCAGTGGCTTAATCCAAAGAGTCCCTGCTCAAATGACATGTCCAGTGGAGAGTGGCAGCAGAGTTCTGCTCTCCTGAGCCAGTCACTGGTTCGCTTGGGCTGGGCCTTTAGTCATTGGAGGAGGGATAAAAACAGAGACTCTTCCTTCTTCTGCCTCAATGACCATGTCACTTCCTCTCCTATTTTCTGGGCTGAGCAAGTTGCATGACATTCATGGGTTGAAGAAGTACAGTCCTGCCAAGTAGACAGAAGGGAGAAGATCGGGAGGCTTTGCCAACAAAGCCTCATGGCTACCACTTTCCCATTTCACTCAGGGATATCCCACGTTCCCAGCAGCAGTGTCCTCCAGGGCCCTATGTTAGATGACATTTCAACCCCACTGTCTGATCCCATCTCCTTCTTTTCTTCTTCCTCCACGGCAGCTCCCTAAATGCTGCCTGCAGGCTCTTCCTCAGGCCCTCTGCACCCGCTGTCCACTCCTGGAGGGCTCTTCACACAGATGTTCCCATGGCCCTTACTTCCTTTGAGTCTTCGCTCAATTGTCCCCTTCATATGCGGCATTTTCCTTACCCATGTACTTAAAAATACAAATTGCCCTCTCGCCTATCACACCCAGCATCCTCTAGCAATGCTTTCCTACATCATTCTGTCTATTGGACTATTCATCCTCTAACACAACGTTTAACAGATTCATTTTGTGTTAGAACGTAAGTGATAAAAGCCTGGGTTCACATTCCGTAGGTTCAAATCAACAACTCCTTTATTTCTTAGCTGGTGATCTTGGGGACATTACTTAGCTTTTCTGTGCCTTGGTTTTTTTTTTTTTTTCTGTAAGGTGGGGTTAAAAATAGTGCTTACCTTCCAGAATGTGGTGAAGATGGAATGTGTCAGTTACGTGGCACAGGAACAAAACAACCCTGTCTTTATTTATTGTCTGATTAATTGCACTGAGATCAAAGCTCTGCGGAGCAGCAATGTTTTTGTTCTGTTTCAGCCGTGATCCCCAGCGCGGTGGGTGGGATGAAATTGGCATGACATAAATACTTACTATAAACCAAGTGAATGAATTACTGAATGAGTAGCATGTCAGACCGGGTGGTCAGTACTCCCTGTTCTCTAGGGCCTTCACTACCCTGCGGTCTTCAGGCCTTAACACAGGGAGGCCCACTGAATAGCAAGCTCCCTCCACAGTCCAGATTGCGCCTGGTCAGGGCTCCTGAAGCATCCGTGGGGACTTCTCTGGATGTAATGAAATGCAGTGGGGCCTTGGTTTGCTTAATCAGGAAGCGTTCTGCTCCACACTGAATCTGAGTACAGGTGAAACATTAATCTACTCGACAATGGCCAACACTTCTTTGGCTGGTCAGCTTGAGTTGAGACCTTGAACCCTGCGTTCTGCTTCTGTGGTTATGCCTGTTCCTCCTGCAAACCAGCACTTGCCCTTGTGAAGACTGGTCTAGGTCTATCCTCTGTGGGGAACATAAGGGCGCAAAGGCTGTCTGTGAACCAGACAAGCAGTAGGTGCTGGGGCAAGAGTTGTTACATGACCAAGCCAATGGATTGAGAAGCTTACCCGGTGGGAGTCATGCAGCGTAGATCCCCCATCTAGTTGGTGAAGGGGACTTGCTCCCCTGAACTATGGACACTGTGGAGAGAGCTATCAGAAAATATTTTTTCTTGTAATTGGATGAGTGAACAGTGCAAGTGTAAAATGTCTTAATAAGGTGCATCTGCATTGTTCAGATGCTGCAGCTATCCCCAGTTCATTGTCTTAGACCTTTCAGGGTGCAGGAACTCAGCAAAATCAATAACTTCCTCATCTGTCCTATATAGGTTGCACTGGGGCTTCCTGTGGTAGAACTGCCTTAGGATTACAAAACAAAGGTGGATACTACCAGAAAATTCCTAGCAGTGAGAAAAATAGAGGGAGTTTCTGTTCTCACATGTATTACGTATGGCAATCTCTATGGTGCGTGGTGGTGAGGGGAGTATGAGGTGCCATAGCTCTGTGTTCTGAACCTGATTCTGTTTTCTGATGTCTGGTTCTGTGCAAGCCCTGTGGGGACCTCTTTCCCACTTGTCACTATGTGAACTCCAGTCCTTAATTGTACAGGTCATTCGGATGGGAGCAAACTTACAATTAATGGGACATGACACATGTTGAGTAAAGCACCTGCTGGTTCCAGGTGAGATGATATGTTTCTTTCCTGAAAAAGAAGTAGGGGTTGGTGAAACAAGGATTACAAGTCCTTCTAAGTCTGTTGTAATGGGCCCTGATTTAGTGACTGTCCTCAGTGCTGGGACCAAACACCTGGCAACCGAAGCCTAAAGGAAGAGGTTTAATTTGGCTCCGATTCTAAGGTTTCAGTCCAGGTTCTGCTGGACTGAACACAGAAATGACTTTGCAAAAGGACCTGGGTGGAGGAAAGGTGTTCACCCCACATTGACAAGGACTTAGAGAAAGAAGAGAGGAGCCAGGGAGAGAGACATACCCTTCAAGGTCATGCCACCAGGGAACAGCCTCCCCGGAAGGCCTCACTGCCCAACAGCCAGCCAGACCCTTCTTCTTCCACAGTCCAGTCCTCTTTCAAAAGCACCCCATAAACGGATGAAGCTGTTAGGGGACATCTAAATTTAAACTATAGCATTCTGCCCCTGGGCTCTACCAAGAATTATGTGCATCTTTTCATGAAAAATGCATTTATTCCATCTCTAAGAGTTGCCAAAGCCTTAACCATTGCAGTGCTGCTAAAAATAAATCAAAGCCCAGTGTCTCCTGAGTCTTAAGGTAAACTCTTAGATGTGAATCCTGTTTAAAAAGCAATAGCAACAACAAAAAACTTTAAAAATATCAAACATGTCCAACTTCTAATGGCACAGAATAAACATTCCTTTTCCAAAAGAAAGGAACAGAGACACAGAAAGGAATGGAATGAAAGTACTACCAAACTCACGAGGGTAAACAACAGGTCCTGTGACTCCATGCCCAGTACTAGGGGCAACGTGGGCTGACACACAAACTGCAACCGGCTTGAGCAGCCTCACCACTCGAGCTCCATATGCCACAGCTGTGTGGCCTCCTTTTGGCAGATTTCAAGCGTTGCTTTTAGCCCTCCTCAGCAGATGTGTTCCTGGCTTTTTTAAAATCCTGGGGCTTCTACTGCACCTTCAGGTTTATTCTTTTATTTTATTTATTTATTTTTATTAATTTTATTGAGAAACAGATAGCAATGAGACAGTTTCAAAACAGGT